ATTAATTAAATATATATATATAAAAATCTTTCTAGAAGTTTGCATGATTCGTTTTCATTAGTTATAATTACTTTTTTTTTTTATAGATTTTCGTAGTTCGTTCGTGTGTTTGTACGTGAAATTTCTCAAAAACTAATAAAGATATATAAAAAAAAATTTAAGAATTTATAACTTAATAGTGTTTTATTACAGAATTTTAATTTTAATTGCGATTCATTCTTTTAATAACCTTTTAGTAGCATTAAATGCGAAACTATAAATTACTCAGAAACTAAGCGAGCTAGAGAATTGATTGTTTGTATTCTTTTTGTACATCTGTTCATCTATATAATTGCTTGTTTGTATGTCTGGACGTAAGATATTTCGGAAATTAAAATGACTAGAATGATAGGAAAATGGATTTTGATGTAGGATATTATCTATATTATATCAAATTTCACTTGTATAAAGATAAGAAAGATGTACTGTCAATTAACTATCAATCTTATGTACATTTTAATTAATTTATTAATGATTTATAGATTATTTTATCAGTTTTTTTAAGACAATTTGCTTTTTTTTTAATTTCTATAAAATCGATTTAAGATAAAAAATTATTGTTTTTATTTTTTTTAAATTATTAAATTAAAACAATTTAATTTTTAATTTAGCAATTTTAATAAGAAAGAAATTTAAATTACATTAAAATTGTTTTGTTAAAAATAACTATAATTTTGAGGTAATTTGTTTCGAAAAAGTGATTTATTTTTACAAATTTCTTTTATTTATTTCACTGTTTTAACCGATTTTAATTGCCTAATTATTTATAAAGACTTTACAAATAAAATTTTTTTTTATAAATAATAATATAATTATTGCTATTTTATAAAAAATTTTAGCATTAAACCTTCTTTTTTATATTGATTTCTTATTAAGATTTGATATTAAAAATTATTAATTAAATTGTTTTTCTTGAAAATATATTTAAATATTTAATATCTTTTTATTAAAAAATTAACAGAAAATTATTTTGTATATTAAATTTATTTGAAAGAAAAATGTTAAACATTTTATACGAGAAATTTTCAAAATTTGGGTATATTTGTCCTCTTTTCATAAAATTCCTTAAAGTAATTTTCCAGAAATTTTGCGGACAGACAGACGAACTAACGTGCTCAAAGAATACAAAGAATTAATGCTAAATTCTTTATACTTTTTAAGAAAATTAAAATTTTGCGTTTGTAAGAATATTGAGAGTATTACAAAAATAAAATTCGATTTAATAGATAAATAAAAGAGAAAAATAAATTTTCATAATCCCTGAAAATTCCAATACGTAATCCTCATTATTTTAAGAAAAAACGTTTAAAGAAGAAACCGATAAAAGTCTTTACGAAATTCTAGAAAAATAAATAAATTAATAAACGTAAGCCGAAAGAAAAGCATTTCAACGATTTACCAGACCGAACTCTAATCAATGTGTATGAATTTCAGACGGAAATGAACGAATTAATCAATTTTCGATCCATCAGATAAATTCATTAGCATACGAGATTAACAAGTAAAATCTCATTAACCGTAACGAATCTCTTAATAAATCGAAAATTATTAAACAAAATTAATCAGAAAATTTGCTACAAATCGAATTTTATAAATCAGAATTATCTTACCAATTTCGGAAGCCATAATTATATGATTTATATAAGGTTTCCTTTAAGAGAAAGAAAAATACGTGCCCATTTTTTGGCTTCCAAACTTAATTCAATCGATATCTTCTTCTGTTTATAGGTTTCTTCTTCTGTAGATCTATGAAAATTATTACCCAGGCATCTTGACTCAGAACCTATCATAATAAATCCTTTAATTTCTCTAGAATATGTAATGTATGAAAAACAGAAGTTTTTATCTCTC